GGAGATTCCTCCAAGATAAGAGGAGTTACATGGATCAGTAAATTAGAGATGAAGAGCTTTAATTTACAAAAGATTTGAGCGAATTTGGTTGAAAGGAAACGACCAAGTCCAAAGTTCGAAGCGATATTGAGCAACAGCGGCAGCAAGAGCAGAATAGGGAAGACCCGACTCCAGCGCCAGACAATAACATCTAAAGTTTAGCAACAGATTTCAGAGCCTGGCACTAGATCTCAGCGTCTGGTGACAGAGCCAATTCTTGGCGCCAGCGATATTTCAGCAGCTACAGAGCTCAAAACCTCTCAGAAAGGTGATTTCGTCCTCATACAGCAATTTCGGGTTCCTTGGTACGCCAGTTAGCCCCTATAAGCAATTTGACATGATTAAGTAGTCGGTTTGATTACAGTCACAATAGGTGGTCGACCTGATGAAATATCGTCTCACTTAGCTTAAAGCGCCTAAGCACTAGCTCATTACAAGCACCAACGTATCGGTTTAAAACGACAATATTTCCAAATATAGATTGTCGAACGACAATTTTTCCAAAATTGGATTGTCTTCCCTAACTGACAATATTTCCAAATATGGATTGTCGTGCATCTTCTTCAACGACAATTTTTCCAAGATTAGATTGTCATCTCTGGCAAAATTTCCAAGCGTGGATTGTCGTGCTCCTTCTTTGTTTGGCAAGTTTTTCCAAGTTTGGATTTTCATACATTCATCGACTCATTGGCAAGTTATCCGAGATTGGATTGTCATACACCTAGTTCCCTATAGAAAAATTTCCCAAAGGATTGTTGTAGGACTCTATTCATCATAAATATCGGCAAAGGTTCCTCAACGTGGATTGTCATTCATTTCAGTAAGTGGAAAATTTTCCCGAAGTGGATTATCAGTCGACTCTTTTTTGCAAATGTTCCAAGACGCGGATTGTCAATTGTGGCAATATTTTCCTAAAAGGATTGTCGCATAGAGTTGGCAAATTTCCAAAGTGGATTGCTTTCAAGAGTTATATTCCAAGATGTGGATTGTCGATCGTAACGAAATTCTTATGACAGATTGTTACGAAGCATTGGCAACTTTTCCCAAAAATTGGACATTGGCAAATTTTCCGAGATACGGATTGTCGCTTCATCATGGCAACATTTCCAAGGATGGATTGTTACGTGGCATTGACAACTTTCCCTAAATCGGATTGTCATACATCATACAAGAGTTGTGTTGGCAACTATTCCTAAATATAAGAGGATTGTCATCACAGCAAAAGCACGGACATAATGGTTCACAAGCAGCAAACCGTCGACGTACAGGCATAGCAGAAGCAAAGTTCAAGCGGGCTTTTAAAGATCGACAAGCGGAGTTCTTCGGTAATTCTCTTTGGAAAATTATCGCAACAAATGAGGGGAGCTTCAAGCGAGGATATCTTCGGCAGCATTCCCTGGCTTGCGGAGAGTTGTCACAAACAACTGAAGGTGATTTCAAGCGAAATAATCTTCGATAGTATTCCCTTGGACGTGGAATATTATCAATGCGGATGAGGATTGTTTCAAGCGAAACAATCTTCGATAGTATTCCCTTGGACGTGGAATATTATCAATGTAGATGAGGATTGTTTCAAGCGAAACAATCTTCGATAGTATTCCCTTGGACGTGGAATATTATCATAGCGGGAGAGGATCGTTTCAAGCGAAGCAGTCTTCTATATTGGAAGCAGTTACAAGCGTAGCGGTTTTCGAGCGGGATGGCATTCTCTTGGCAGGAGGTCATCAAAACAACAGTAAAGCAGCAGCAAATCGGTTACTTTCAAAGACGTGTGCTCGACGGTGCAAGATACGCGTTTCTTAACTCTTTTATCTGTTTAACTAACGCTAGTTTTGCAGGTATTGGCGTTACAAGAGTGATTTAGGATCGCAGAACATTTTGAATCATTCTCCGTCCCTATCGATCTTTGACTTTTGTTTTCGAAACTTGCGTTTCTCCAAACTCAGTCAAAGTGGGGGCTTCTGTAGACACCCATTTGTGTCTCCCAAAGACCATACCCGGTGATGAGTACCTTTCACGTCGAATCATAATCGAATGAAGTGAAAGTGTGGAAAGTTTAGTGTTGCGGATAGTTTTAATTTCTTTTCTCTTCTCTCTATTTTTGAAAATCTATTTTAAGAAAACAGCCAATCCAGTTTGGTTGGTCCATTATATGGGTCCAATAGTAGTTTAGTTGGATGGGGCTTGGCAAGAGCTTTCCAACGATATATTATAAGCCCAATTCCGATGAATATTGAGGAAGTTATGGCCAATATACTGAACTGGGCCCGGTTTGAGCCTTATATGCGGCCCAATGATCTAGGGGAGGGCCTAATATAGATTTATCATTCCTAATGCAATAAGGAATGGTTTTAGTCTTCTAGATTCTTCTAGAAGGTTCTTTTCATTCCTAATTCAATTAGCATTGATAAATTGACTTTTGTTGACTTTCAGAGTTTTAATTAAGATCAAAGAACATTTTTTGAGGAAAGATACGATTTTATCCTCCTGTACGGCAATTTTTATCTGATTTTAAGAAAACGCGTGATTTTCTGAATCAGCGCCAAACGCCAGCTGTAGCGCCTGGCGCCAGCATTGGCGCCTGGCGCCAATACCCAGCGTTGGCGCTGGTTCAATTTTTTGTGCGCCAGACTCTGTTTTGATATTTTATCTTTTTGGCTGATTTTTCTCTATAAATAACGTCGTAAAAATTCCGTTTTCGATAACTAGTTTTCATCTATAATCAATACACCAACTCTCATCAAGATTCTCTTGATTACTCTCTCTCTCTCTCTCTTTTTCTAAACTAGCTTTTCTCAAATACAAAATTCCGCATTCATTAGATCTAGTAACACCTAGCCGTATTCGAAGTTGCTTTCGCCCTAGACGTGAAAGGTTTAATTTCTGAGGGTTTGGTCCCAAATCTCTCTTTCCATTATTTAATTTAATTGTTTTGATTATTATTTTCCTTGAAGTTACTAACGTGTGTATTTTGTTATTAGAAAGAGGTACGAGGCATCCAAGTAAGTTCTTTAATGGTTTTTATTGATGTTATTATATAGAGTTCATGTTTAGATTGTTATTATGATTCCTAGTATCATGTCTAGGGTGACTTTAATATCAAATATGATTATTACGATGCTTCCTATGTTCTTCCTAATATTTATGATTGTTAGTATCATGTTAGGGTTAAAGATTTGATTTTTGATGTTTAGTGACATGCTAGGGTTTGTTATTAATCTTATTAGTACCATGCCTAGGATCTTGCTATTATTATGCCTTAACATTATTATGATTATTTTTTTATGATTTATGATTATGATTGTTATAATTATTATTATGATTATTTTTAATTATGATTGTTATGATTATAATTTTTATTATTATTTATTATGTTGCTTGCATTATATATTGTTATTGCTTGATCACACCTTTTATGCATGTTTAAAGGGAATTTGTACTCGTAATCACGCTTAATAAGATAATTAATAATCTTGTTTAGGGTTAATATGATTATAATTCAAGTGATCGCCAATAATAGATTTATTTGTGCATTAAATTCAACCAACATAGATAAACATGTTTAGGGTTAATCCTATTGATTGTATGTTAGTCAAAAAGCGCACATGAATACGATCAGAATAAAGTAGAGGCCTGTTATTAGGGCAGGTTCAATCTCTTTTAGGTTGGATTTGTACCTTCATCCCCGAACCCTTATTTGGTTCAAGACCTTATGGAGTTGACAATCTCTTGGATCATTAAGGGGTGTAACCTTCACCCTATGAACGGTTTACAAGTTCCTAAAAAACTTGTTGGCGACTCTTTTTCTCTATCTTCTTCCCTTTTAGACGCCACCGTAATTTAGTGTATGGTTACAGTGGGGTTCAAGCTAGGGGTTGACGCTTGAAATTATTCCCTTCACTCCCAACACCTGACAATTAGGATATTGAGAAATAGAGGAAAATTCAAAGTTGATTGTGAAGAAATCTACTACTCCGAACAATTTCAATAATTTAGTGAAAGCTACAACCGAATAACTTCTAACATTCAGGGAACGATTGTTGGATTTGGACCGAGTAGTTGCCATCAATGGTGGTTTTAGTGGCGCAAGTTCTTCTTCTTGCCTTCTTGATCTACACCACATAATTATAGAGCATATAGAGTTAAGGGTGCTAAACCTACTAGACAGGATAAACACTTTTAATCTTGCCTTGTTTCCCATGTACGATAATTATGCTTGTCGTAGTCGTCGAGGTGTTGATGCAGGTCCTCACCCATTACGTTTACGGCTATCATCCCTCTAAAGCTAATTAGAGCATCGTATCACATGGTATGGCTTGGGTGTTCTTTTCTACTTTCTAGATTTTTGTTTTTTTTAAGATACCTACCTGGTTTACTAGAGCTTAGCACATCTGATTTATGGTGGGTGAGTCTCCTAACAAGAGATTCTACATGATTCGAATCCAAAATCTCTTTTAAATGACATCAAGTTGTTTACCACTTGAGTCAACACTAGTTATGTGCTAGTTTATATTTATTCCAATGGAGTTGCTAGAATGAGAATTTGAGTTTATATTATGGTACTTCCTATGTCCCTATATTATGGTATGATGGGTAAACTATTGTACCATATAATTGTTTCGTTGCACCATTAAACATTTAAACCTAGCTATTGGTTAACTTGTGTTTCTTTTTATTGTAAAGAATGCCTGGATATTTATCTACAACTCCAAATCTCTATTTATCTACAACTCCAAATCTCCAATACAGGAAGATGCTTTAAAAGAGAAAATTTATCTCCAATACAGGAAGAGGCTTTGAAAGAGAAAATTTGTTCCTTGAGTTACACAGTAATATGAACAAACTTTGTAGATATGATTAAAAATCATGAAGTTACTCTTAATTTATTTTATCCTTAGGATTGTTTTGAATTGTATTTGACATTCTTAATTTAACTAAGAGTTGATTCAGTTTAGAGGGTGTAAGGTTCTTCACTTTGTTGCAAGCGCAAACAAATTTTTGAAGGAAATAGGCTGTGCGTTAACAGAAAATATAAGAGATGCAATTGTACAATCAAATCATGCAAGACAGCCCTGGATTCGGAATCAAGCAACTACTATCTGCAATCCCTTTTACATCTTGATCACATACGCTTCTTTGGGTACCAAGAAGCAAAATAGTGTAAAGCTATACCTAGATGATTTGAAACACTAAAAGAGGTCGAGCAAAGCTGCTCAACTCATTCAAGCAGGGGGGTTAGCATATACTTTAGGCTTTGGTTTGACTTCTACTTCATTCACACTTCGGATGAATATTGAATCAGGCTCATGACTGCAAAACAAACATAAACATGTAAACGTCAATGAGCAATCAAAAGCGACAACTCGACAAGGCATAAAAAAGAGAGCTAAGTGTCATTGTCTTACGGTTTCTCTCCTTCCTCGTAGGTATAACTAGACGCAACAGCTAGGAGACGACCGTCTCTGCTAAATGATAATGCAGAGATGCTTGAAGGATACTTCACATACTGAAATTCAAGATGAATAAAGATTAAATATGTTATTCAAGGTAAAGATGAATTTACAGAGCTGAGCTATAAGTCGTCATATGTACAATGTACCTGATAAAGTCTCTTCTTGTTGTTTCCATCCCACACATTCACAATTCCATCACAACCTCCAGTTGCAAATGTTCCATAGCTGCAAAGCATATAAACATCACATAAATCTATAAATGTTTTAAATAAAAAACAAAAAGCAACATGCACCACTGCTGTAACTTCTTGAGTACAAACGAACAAGAAAATAATCATTATTTTTTAATAGAACATTTGTTTTTTTTTTAAGTTTCGGTTCTTTGTTAAAAAAAAAAAAAAAAAAAAAAAAAAAAAAAAAAAAAAAAAATGTTCTAATCAAAAGTAAGTCAAGTTTCTCATCCAAAGACCTACAAACAAGTACACAATGTTTTCAATCCGACATGTCTGATGTCTAGATTACAAACTTAAATCAACTGTAGTATGATCATGCCATGCAAAAGCTTCCTATAAACCTTGTCCTGTGAAGCAGTGTATGATTGTTCAAAACATCCTTAAACCATTACTTCACCAGCATCTTCAACTCATATATATACACCCTTAATTTCATAGAGAATATAGACTGGCGTGATCATTTACTAGTATTTTTACACTGAATGCACACCTCTATAAAACTAGGTGAATAGCTACAAATACTCTTGGTGAATTTGTGAAAATCGAGAAAGATATACATCTACTACATGCAGTGTTGTTTAGGAATAATGAACACTGATGTCCATCAAGGGCATAAAAATTGAGTAATCAACTCGATCAGAACACATTATTTTATTAAATTATACTTCGTAGAAATTAAAAAAAATTCCTTAAAAAAAGAACCATCATTTGCATTAACCTTTCAACTGTTTAGCACCTAATCTTAGAATGTCAACTTAAAAAATCTTAGTACGTCTAACACACTATATTAAATCTTTCAGTCCTACAATGATATACTAAATAAATGAGAATAAAAGTGCTACATTCTCATGCACATTCAGTAACTCGCCAAGTACATCATATAGCTCAAGAGCTTTAATTGACCTGCTCTCCATTACAGCTTTCCAACAATTATCCAAACAAGTTATTTTCAAATATCTTTAGTTACTCCATATGTACACATCAAACAAGTTCTCTTGTTTTAGTCATAAGATCCTAAATGGGCATCATAAATTCAACAAGTGGGGATCATAGCTAAACATGGAATATCATCAAAAACTTACATTGGATGGAAGGCAATGGCATTTACAGGGTAAACAATATCTCTTCCAGCCTCTGACTTCCGATGGCATTTGAAAGCATATCTGCAAAACTTTAACCATCAGCTACATCGATGTCAAAGATAAAAGTGATAAGAAACCATGAGCATTATGTACAATTTGACTAATAAAAGTGATAAGCATATGTTTTCAGTCACATACTCTTACTCATAAACAGTTAAGGGTCACCCAACATCAACCGAAGCTGGCTAAACCAACAGTGGACCACAATCAAGGTTCTAGGAGAGAGAGAGAGAGAGAGAGAGAGGGGGGGGGGTAGAGAGAATCTAATGGATCCCATAAGTGGTTTTAGAAAATCCAAGCAATTTGCAAACTTAAAACATCTGTTCAAACACTTATTATGGGGCAACACATATTACACAATCACCAATAAGCCACATTGAGTTTGGGCTATCATGAGCAAATTACAGAGAAAAAAAATCAGAAAAGAAGCATACAATACACTAATAAAGGATGAACAAAAGGATTGAACTCACTTCTTTGATTGACCAGCATCAGAAAGATCAAAAAATTCCATTGCTACACGACCTTCAACTGAGCTCAGAGCATAACCTATCCAATCGGTCAAAACATGATTAAAGTTATCACCATAGCTTGAGAAATATCCTTCAGTTGATAACCTCCAAAAAATTACAATAAATCAACTTACAATATTTAGCAAATCTAATACCGTATAAAAGTTGAATACTTAAAAGAGTAGATTTAAGTTAGTTTTAATTTTTTTTTTGGCAAATCAACTCTTGGTTTCCTCCAGGTTATTTGACACTCAAAAGTCAAACCAATATGGCAAATTTGTTATCATTGTAATTAATAAACCAATTTGAATTATCCTAGGCATATCAGGTGAATAGTAATTAGTAAATTAGAGATGAGGATATGACCTCAACTGATCTCAAAAGGCTACCGTATCATAGACGTGATGCTATCTAACTAGCTATTAGCCTGAGAACTCATCCTCAGTTCTTAACCTCTTATACCAAAACATAATTACTTGCTTCTTTTTTTCCTGGGTAATTTTCTTTTGAACTCAAAAGTTCATAATTATGCATTAAAAGATTTAAACCAATAAAAACAACTTTAAATCTAGCACTTGTCCATACCTGTTCCATTGGGGTAACAACGCACACATCTAGTCTGATATTTCAATGAAGACTCCCTGCGTTGTTCGGGCTGAGACATATTTCGCAAATCATAGACATTCACATGTCTGCCTGCAGTTGCTACTACCAATCTGTGACCAACAAGAGACATAGAATAAACACGTTCTGGTTGAGCATATGTTCCAACAAGTGTACGCTCTTGCCCACTTGCACCTCTGGGATCCCAACACTTTATTGTTTTATCCCAGCTACCTGATATCAATTGCCCTGAAAAATAGCAAGGTAAGTCATATTTAATGGCACAAGCTCAAACAGAACACGGTGCAACAAACTGCCAATAACATACAAGTTACATGCTCTTGCAGAAACTATGGACATCACCATTCCAAGAGATATCAATATTTCATCCTCAATCAACTTACGGTTTGAGATGATTACATCATCAAGCAACTGAGAATGCAAACATAGAATTCTGATAAGTGAGATGATTGAGTTTTTAACTTCACTAGCTAACTACATTAAGCCCAAGTTTTGACAAAGAGGAAAAGCAACATAGAATACCAAATCAGAATAAATTAAACCTAACACTAATCACGACTATGCTATATATCATTGCAAGAACAAAACAGTGACCAGAATCCCATTCACTCAAGAATCTATCCTGAACTCTGAGCAGTGTGACTAGCTGCTGACAAATCATGACTCCACTCAGCTCAACCCTAAGTAAAAACCTAGTATGCTGAGCCAAAAACCACAACAAAACACAAAGTATGTCAGAAGCAGCTCGAGAACCAGGTACTGCAAAACTAGGATACAACCCTGGTCATTTAAGCTGGAAAAACAAAACACCAAATGAAACAGAAGGTTTCTCTGATCTATATATTTAGATGACTGTCTACTAGCAAGAGAATAAATAATTGAAAGTTGTCTGAACTCCGAGCACAATTCCAGCATACCTGTGGCATAAGAGTACTCCACACAACGTACATGTGCTTCATGCTTTCCCAACACATCTTCTTTTCCATAGTTGAAGACAAGCCTGAAAACCAAAACATAAAACAACTAAATCAGTCCAATTCCACTTTCAACAACATATATATAATTGTGCACCTTATATTTTCCCATATTCAATAAGGATATAAGTAAATTGGGGCAGCTGGACCGAATGTTATCCGCTAGCAGGTTAACCATTCAATCACACTAGTCAATAAGTAAGAGCGAATATTACCAATCTCAAGACTCGGAAACTCAATACAAGATACGAGTACCATTTTCAACGACACATACTAATGGAATCTACTTTTTTGTAGAATGATTGAAAAGCTACAATCATGAAGCACCACGCACCAAAACCAGTGATCAAACAAGCAATCACAAACACCTGAATATGCAGAACTATAAACCTGACACATTGAATGGCAGGAGTACATGAAAGGGAAGAGAAGAAAAGATCTATCCTCAAGACAAAACACACAAAAAAACACCAATTACATACCATAACCCGAAGGAACTCAGGTCGGTTGCAGGGGATCAAGTCGATCAATTGCATAATTTCAGTTAAACACTGCAGCCATGCTTATGCAATCTCAAACAAAAAAATTTAAATCCCATATCCCAAACATAGAATATAAATGAGAATTTATCAAATCCTAAATTATGGACAAAAATAACAAGCAAATACTTTCCATATTAAGCATTTCATTACCTAACACTCCAACTTTATCGTCTCCTAAAATCGACTCATAATTCACATACACGCAATAAAATCCCAAATCCCACGTTGAAAAAGAGTCCAATTTTCCAATATATCAAATTGTTCCACTTGTAAAACCTAAAATACTACACTTAAATCAACAAAACACCCAAATATTCTACAAAGTATTCCATATCAAGCCTATAATCCTTAAATTCCAACATAAAAACCTCAAAAACTAGAATCAAATTTTATTCAAACAAAAAACAAATTATCCAAAAAATTCAAAAAATCACAAAAAAAATTAAAAGAGAAAACACCCACCGCCGAACAGTGGAATCACCACAGGCACTGAAACCAGAAGTATCATCATGAAAGCAGCAATCTAGAACAGGACCGCCATGTTTGAACTCTCCTCGAAGCACATTGGCACTCGCATGATACAAACGAACAGTCTAAAGTAACAACAAACAAAAAACAAACAATAACCCAGAAAAATTAAATCAAAATTATGGACGAACAACAAACACCCAGAAAAATTAAATCAAAGTAAGAGAAGAGAAACCTTGTCCCAAGAAGAAACGAGGAGATGATCACTGTGATTAGAGAATCGAAGGTTTGTGATACCGTCAGTAGGAGGACTGGAGAGCTCTTTTCCGAGCACTGGCGGCGCAACCGCCGTCATTTGGGATCTCCGATGAAGGGGGGAAAAGAGAGCGGGGGTTTAGAGAAGGGGTTTTGAATTGTAAGGGAGGAGAGAGAAAGTGAAAGTGAAAGTTTCTGATTTTGTTTTGGTTTTATTTTGGGTTTGTTTAAGATGGGGTCATGAGGAGGATGAGGATGGAGGTAATGAGATTTAAATTCAAATTGTTGTTTCAAATTCTTCATATGTTTGTTTGATTTTTTTTATTTATTTTTTTAAAAATAGAGATTTATTTAATTAAGCCTTTTCGTCACATTTACAAACTTTGGAGTATACGAGTATATATTTGATAAAAAACACTTTAATAATTTCAACAATTTAGTTTAAATAATTTCGATTTTTTATTATTTTGCAATAATTCTAACCTTTATATGTGTTTTATTTCTTAAATCCTGATTATTGATTACTTACAGAAATGGTTAAATTTTAATTAAAAAACTAGATTTACCTCGTGCAATGCACAGTTTTAAAATAAGAATTGAATTATATTTAATACGTACTGAAAAAAAATAACTTCCTCATTTTTCCTAACTAATTTCTAATTAAATATGAAAATACAATTCCCGAAAGTACATAGTTTACATATTTAATTAAGAAATTTCAATTAAATTATATTATCAATAATCATCAATAATTTCAATAATTATATACTAAAAGACACACCAGCAAAAACACATGTCATCTTTTGGTGTATCCTTAGTTATATTTAATCTTTTAATGAAGGAAACAAATCAATTACAAAAATAATATTTTTTTTTTTATATTCCATATTAACATGTAGTAATAATTATATATCAAATAAAAAAATATTTCACAAATCTTTCTAAATAAATTTAGTATAAACCCGAAATCAATATTTTAAAATAATTTATGACCTGTTTTACAATAAGAAAGAATATTGCTCAAATTATTTGTCTACTTTTGTGTTTATTATTTATTAGAAGATACAACTAAAAATTGCAAATACCAAATTAATAATTTATTATTCCTCTACTAATTTATGATTATAATAGTTTTCAATCAATAATCTATAACTATATATAGCTATAGGTCACCGTGCATGGCACGGGATCTAACATAGTTAGTTTTTATTGTTAAAAAATCGTAAATAACTAAATAGCATAATATGTGTAGAAAGCCCAAAATTATAAAAATATAAATTTAAATGAAATATATTTTCAAAGCTATATCAAAAAGGCAGCTTAAAAAGGAAAAAATATGACATCATCATTGCATTTTGGATGGAAAAAATTAAATAAAAAAATGACATGTAAGCAATGATAACATCAGCAGTTGTTATTTTAGTATACACTAGATTAGTGCTCGTACATCGCACGGTAGTAAAAAAAATTTCCATATTGTGATATAATATAAAATTTGAGGCAATTCATATGAAATATACAAATGCAATGTGTATAAGAAAATTGAAATAATAAGGCCAAAATTATTAAAATTAAATTGCGAAAAAAAAAAATATTGTTGATTAGTTGTGTTGAAAATATTTTAAAGTAGTATACATTACATTACATTAATGATGCAGGTTTTTTCCAAAAATAACTATACTCGTACAACATAATTTTAAAAAATACGCTAAGTAGATTAACATAAACCAAAAAAAAAAAAAACTTTGACATCATATATTGTTTTGGCAGAAAATTTTTAAATGAAAGTATGACATGTGTCAAAAATGATGTAAACATGTTCTGTTTTAGTATTAGTTTATAGATTATTTGAAAAAAAAAAATTCATACTCTCATCAATTAATTTTAAAAGAAGCACTGTATTTATTTAGTTTTGGAATATAAGAGGAAAAAAAAAAGGATGATGTCAAAAATAGTTTAGGCGGGAAATTTTTTAATAAGAAATTGGCATGTGTCCCTTAATGATGTCAGCAAGTTTTGTTTTAATAATAGTTAATAGATACTAGTTCTTTGCCAGAGCAATGCTCGGATATTCAAAAAAAAATATTTTTATAGATTTCTATAAGTTTGAGAAGTATTTATTTATGTTATCAAATTACTATATTAGATACGATAATGTCGAGTACTTATATCTCTAATTTTAGTTTCCTGACATCTTATAAATTTAAAATTGTGTAAAATCTTTTTTTAGAGTAGAAAACAAACAATACATTTTATATATTAACGATTAAAGATTCAAATGAATATACCAAAAAATAAATAAAATTATTTATCTAAGTTGTTATTATTGCTCTATTTTTTAGGTTGCATATTTTATTTTATTTTTTTTATCAACTATATTATTAATTTTTATGAACCAAGAAGAGAAAAAAAAAAAAAGGTTTTGGCGGGAAATTTTTTAATAGAAACGCGACACGTGTACTTTGGGAATAAGGCTAGGGATTACTTTAGTATATTAAATATTGATATATAGATAAATTATTCACCAAGTGTTGTATGTTAATCAGATACAAAACAATAATAATAAATTTAAGGGAAATTATCAATGGTACACCTCAGATTCGACTGTTTATCAGTGGTACACCTACTTAACTATTGTTTATCAGCGGTACACCCAAGATTTCACACTCTCATCCATAGTTACCACTCCGTTAAACAAACGTTAACCCTAATCTATTTTTGGCTTTTTTCGATTTTTTTGAACTTAAAAAACTCCCTATTTTATACCTCTTTACTTTCCCTCCTTTATTTAGACTAACCCTCCTTTATAGTAATTATTTTATTTGGGTTTGTCATATGTTTCACTTTTTTTGTTCCTATTCTATTGTTGAATATTAGCGTAATTTTGGGGGGTGTTTGTTAAACTAAGATGAAGAAAAGTGAAAGAGAACTTGATAATAATTATTCTGGTGAAGAATCTCATTATTATCATCAAAAAATGTACGAGGGTGTTGTTCAATCTTCTACTAATTACGGGTTTTGTTTTCCTGGGTTTGTTGTTGGTTCATCAACAACATCATCATCTTCTTCATTAGTAAACCCTTTTGATCATTCACGTTTTTCAACGCCAAAAATCCATTTTATAGATCATCTTCTTCATTAGTAAACCCTTTTGATCAATTTTATAAACTGGGTTTAGCAACAGATTTTCAGAAGTTAAGTGTAGGAAATTCTGATGTTATTGGACAATTTCATAGAGATTCAGATGTTTTTAGGGGGAGTGCATGTAATGTGACTGAGAATTTTAGGGTTTTAGAGGGTTTTAATAGGTTTTCTGGTAATGGGGGAGGATTTTAATCTTTTGTGTGTAGACATGAGAAGGGTGTTAAGGATTTTAAATTGGGAATTAGGGGAGGTGGTAATCTAGTGGATTCGTACGGGTTGAATTCAGGTTATGCTGCTATGCATGGTCATCATAACTATTTGATTAATTTTCCTTTGTAAGGGATGAGTCGAATAGGAGATGAGTGTTACGGGAATGGTGGTGTACCATTACTTAGAGGAAACAAATACTGTGATCCATTGCCTGTGTATGAAGTGGTGATTTTTGAGGTAATGTTTCGATTCCAAGAGGAGGGATAGTAAAGAAGGGGAAAAAAAAAGAGGGAGTTTTTTAAGTTAAAAAGGCCAAAAATAGATTAGGATTAACGTTTGTTTAACGGAGTGGTTACTGTAGATGAGTGTGTGAAACCTTGGGTGTACCGCTGATAAATAATAGTTAAGTAGGTGTACCATTGATAAACGCTCGAATCTTGGGTGTACTATTGATAATTTCCCTAAATTTAAATTAAATGTCCAAAAAAAAAGAAGGAAAAAAAAAATCACCGCCCATTGCCATGCTGGTGGCTACCCACTTCCCCCAGCTAACCATCCCCCTCCCCCAAACCACCCTTTTCTATCTTCAATTTTAAAATCCAACACTTTCTCGGGAAAAGTCTCATCTAAAACTCAGATTAAAAACCTTAACCAATCAATTTTTTTGACGAAGATTTCATAATCTATTTGACGGAATGCTATAGTAGAGAATAAATTGAAAGTATACTGGTACCATTTGAAATAAAAGTAAAAATTGGGTACCAAATGGAAAAGCCTAGACTACAATGATACCAAATGGAAAATCCCAATAAATGAAACGTTTCCTTTCTTAGTAACTTTTTCCTATTTTTTAATATATAACACTAGTGTGTTGCCCGGGCGTTGCACCGGTTGCTACTTTAATTAGACCTTGTGATTATCAATTATATACATTTATTTATTTTCATATTTATAACATAGCTTATGATTGGCTTAGATGGTTAAGTAACTATAATTCTTATAAAAGGTTGGGTAATCATCATTTTATTTTATATGAAACAATATTCTAGTTAATTGAGTAGTGATGATGTGGCATGTATGAGAAATGGAGTAGGTAATGTGGCGTGGTCTACATGGCACAAAGCCGTTCTTAGTAACGCCTTTTAATATATTAGCTTATGATTGGCTTAGATGGTTAAGTAACTATCTTTCTTATAAAAGGTTGGATGTTCAAATCCTCTTATCATCATTTTTTAATATGAAGCAATATTCTAGTTGATTGAGTAATGACGTGGCGTGGTCTACGTGGCACAAAGACGTTCTTAGTAACTTTTTTTAATAGATTAGTATAGATTCTCTATTTTTTTTTTTAAAAAAAAAAAAAATTACTAATTAATGGTCCCCATAAAATCCTTTACTTTCTTCTATCTCCCAAACTTATACCTCACTGCCTATTATTTTAATAAATTCAACCAACTTATTTAAAAACTCTTTGAAAGTCAAAATGTTTCATTAAATTAACCACATAAAGAGTACTACCTCCGTCTCTAAATTATATTCCTACTCCTCTCTATTATGTGAGGAATAAATTCTAAAAGTATGAATGTAATTTAGGGGTCGGAGGGAGTATATTTGTTTTTGAAAAAGTTGATTTAAATAATCCAACCTTTACCTTGTTTAAATCTAATAATCCAACTTTTGGATTATTCCCGAATAATCCAAGATTTGGGGGTCTTCAATTCTATTTGGTTATACCGGTCACAAACTTGCAATATCAAGTCCCCTTGCCACGTGTCATATTCTGATTCATCTAATATATTTTACATTTAAGAAAAATTAAAAAAAAAATTTAATTTCTTTTTTCTTACTCCTTTACCTTTCCTTTCTTTTTTCCCCTTCCCCACCCCTTCCATTAAATCAGCAACCTTCACCTCTATTAAATCAGGAGGCAACCATCTCTTTCTCATACTGCCCCTCTCCTCCCTCTTCCCCTTACTTTTCAGACCACCCTTTTCCCTCACCTTTTCAACCAACCCTCCTCTTCCCTTTCCCTCGCACCCACCTAAACCATCGATCCCGAAATCTAAAAATGCCAGCCACAACGAACCAACCCAAAAACCCCTCAACCTTCATTAATACTGGCAACGTGTTATTTACTACTACT